AGGTCTTACACCATATGAGATGTTGTTTGGAAGAGCTTACAGATTACCATATTTTAATAATATATGGGAAATTCCAGAAGAAGCTACATTAGCTGATTACATGAGAAAAATATTTGAAAAACAAAAAGACCAAAAGACTGATGAACCTTCATCTGTCTCCACAGGAAACCAATTTAGTGGAGCCAGGAGATTGAGTTCTGAAAAAAAGCATCAAAAGGAAACACTGGCATTCTCCTAAGTGGGAAGGGCCATTTCAGGTTTTGTTGAGCACTCCCACTGCATGTAAAATAGCAGAACGACCAACTTGGATTCTTCTAAGTCACTGTAAATGTGTGGTGGCAAAACAAGCAGACACCTAAGGACGCTGCTGATACTACTTATCCTGTCTGTAGGAATAGCTGACTCATTTTACACCCCAGTACCTTACTATTATGCAAATTCAGAAAAACAGACCCCGCTGTTATCTAATTTCTCAAACCCCTGTATGGAACAGGGTCAAGGATATTCTCCTGATCCATACTTTTGTTACAATGGGACCAGTACAGATGCCATGGTTTTGTTTAACCTGGCTGACATAACTGTAGGAGGCTATAGAGGGGACATCTGGGAAGGGTATGACTGGTACTTGGATAGCTCAGGACTCAAAACTCATGGGCCCAATTGGGGCGAGGTGTTTGCTACAGTACCACCGGCTCATGGGCTAGAGGATCCTATGGTTACACAGAAAAAGCTCAGAAATAGTCAAAAAGAATGTCCATGATTCTTACAAGTCGCCAAATAATAATCCATCTTAACACAACAGTTTATCCCCTAGAACCTCCAACAAAACGCTGGTCAGCCACCCGCAACCCTGCATGCCATGCTTTTACTCGTATGGCGTCCACATGCTGTTGACCCCTGCACACGCTTTGGTCTGTGCCCCAATCTTACAACAACAACTACTGCAAGTGTGTCATCCACACCCCCTAAGCGTGGAAACGGGACGGATGTGTTGACTCGTGGGCCTAGACCTAGTTCCATCTCAAAAGTATCATTAGTAAATGGCAACCCCACTGCAGACGAGTGGTTCCAGTTGACCACTGGGATTTCTGGTTTTAATCATAACTGGTTGCTAATGGTAGAGCAAGCTGCTAATGCTGCTAAACAAAGTTGTGTTGTCTGTATGGGGCCTAGGCCTCTGTTACAAATAGCTCCAGCAAATTTAGATTCAACTTGTATGCTCACAGTGATGAATAGCATAAATCCTACTGGAAATTGTTCTTTTTGGGATGGTATTTTTTCCTGTGACCGGGCCAGACAGAAGGAAGCCCTATTTCTCCTCCAAAGTAGCAAAATTTCAGTTGTGTAAATGTTACTGGTAAAGGCCCGAAATGGGGCAGACTCAAGAAGTCATGGTGCTCTGAGATTGTTAAAGTTCCTGCACCATTTAAACCTGTATCACGTGCTGACATCTGGTGGTGGTGTGGAGACAACAAACTGTTTGACAAATTACCTATGAATGTCACTGGAACCTGTGCTTTGGTATCGTTGCTGTTACTGTATCTGTGTATCCCACCTCAGCTCAAGAATTAGTTAAGACTCTCTAGTGTGATCCCTGGACAATGGAAGCATCGAACCAAACTTGATGTAACCTGGCAAGGACAGACTGACCCAACCTACATCGATGCTATTGGTGTTCCACGAGGAGTCCCTGATGAGTATAAATTAGTTGAGCAAGTAGCTGCAGGATTTGAATCTACTTTGTGTTGGTGGTGTACAATTAATAAAAATGTTGATCGAATTAATTATATTCATTTCAATGTGCAGAGACTTGGCAACTGGACGCAGAATGGATTTGAGGCTGTACATGGACAGCTGGCAGCAACCTCTCTCATGGCCTCTCAGAACCGAATTGCTCTCGACATGATCCTGGCCGAAAAAGGAGGGGTATGTTATTTTCGCCGAAGAGTGTTGTGCTTTTATTCCGAACAACACTGCGGCAGATGGCAGTCTCACTGTGGCTCTGGAAGGACTTCGCACTCTGAATGGCAAACTTAAAGAACACTCAGGCGTGGACACATTCATGTGGGATTCAATGTTTGACCTGTTTGGAAAGTATCACACACTGGTGTCTTCAGTGTTGGTGGCCTTAGCTGTGTTTGCAGCCATTCTGACTCTATGTGGGTGCTGTTGCATTCCATGCCTTCGAGCCCTGATAACGAGACTAATAAATGTAGCCCTTGCCCTGTCACCTGGACTGATGGCGTAGACGTTTCCTCTGTTCGCTGTACCAGACCCTGAAGACCTGGGAGAAGAGGACGAAGCCCAGAAGTATCATGTTGAGACGCGGTTTGGTTCTGATCAGTGAGTGAATAAATGCATGCCACGCGACTCTGCGTTCCAGTTGATCTAATCGTTCTGGTTTGAATTTTTAATAAAGTTTTAAAACATTTCTCTTGTATTAGCCATTTTCCCTCTGAGTGTAAGTGTTAATGTTGTTAAAAAATGACCTAGTTACCGAAAATCTGAGAAGAAGTGGTTTTCTAGTGATGCGAGAATAAATGGCATTAAGCATGATAAAACAAGAAGGAAATGTTAAGATCATTGTGTTTTCTTTTACCATGCTTTATGCTTTTATTACATTTAAATATGTTACCATTTACGCTGAACAGTTGCTGTACTGCTTGAAGTCTCATGAGGAGACTTTAACCCCCAAATTCCACTACCTGCGCTCCGACACGAATGCCGGAGCAAAATCGGTCCCGTTGTAGTCAATCAGAGCAATTCCACTACTGCGGCCGTGCGCCGCCCTCTGTTCCGGCGTCCGGCAAAAATAGAATCAATCCTATTTTTGCCGGACGCTGGAGCACCTCCGCAGTCAACAGACAGAAATCACAACCGCCCAACAGGAAAAGGAGCGAGCACAACTTCCGTTTTTCACAATAAATCGATAAACAAAAGGCGTTTTTTGTTTCATATGCACAGGTTTAACAACTTTTAACAACTATCAATGGCAGCTGAAGTTTAAATGCACAAAAGTAAGCCATAAATACAGTTTCCACTATCAAAGTAGTCACACTTTGTTGATCCAAACACTGCTGATCTCTCAACACAAATGATGGGCAGATTAAACAGTTCAGCGGAGCCGTTGTAGAGCGGGTACCAGTAAAAATTGAGTTCGGAAGCAAGTGGCTGCGGAAGGCGGGGGCGGACCGGAGCGGAGCGGAGCGGAATTTCGGGGTAAGAATGCTGAGCCTTGGTCCTGACCTAATGTGACCCAAGGACATCTGCTGACTTGGACAACTGCTGACTCGTGCAACTGTCTGTTGCACATTGTGTGATTAGACACTGATTAGAAAAACTGAATGCTCTTTGTGTGAAACTTGTAACAATTACTAAAATCTGAGAGCTGTGATTTCCCTCCATCCTTCAGTGTCAGCTCTCAGGCATGTACCTAGGGACCCGCCCAGCTTGTAATAAAAGGACACGCTCGGATTTCAAAGGCAGAGTGGGTTTGGAGGATCTGCCGGTACAGTGGAGACTGTGCTGGTCAGACCTTATTTCCATTCTCCTCTAGCATAAAACAGAATTCTGACTTTTGTGTCTCTTTTCTTCTGTTGTGTATGATGTCTTAGGGGTTTAAACCTGGCATCCACATTGTAACGCCCCCCCATCGCAGCTGGAAACATCTTCTCGAAGAGTCCGAAGTATCATGAATTTTAATATTAAACAGTAAAACTCAAAAGTTGCACTTGCCTTCCTTATTTAATATGGTTCCTTTTCGAGTTAGTATTCTGGAAAAGTTAATTCCAGCAAATTTTTTCACTTCCTGCATCTTTAATCTGCCCTAATTATAAAATATTTTATGTCAGGGGTGACCACAATAAACTCTTGAAATAAACGTAGCTACTGTTTATAAACCTGTAGTCCTGAATAAACATGTTGCTAATCCAAACTCACAATACATCATAGAAGAACGTTGTCTTCTTTGGACTTTAATCTACTAAAGGTTTACCCGTTCACCACCTGTTTTTTATGGATTTTGCTGTTAATGCAGATTAGTCTAGTCCAGGTTTGGAGAATCTAAGTGTTGTATTTTAGAGCTGGACCAGATCTAAGGTGGACCAGCTCTAAGCTAGACCAGATCTAAGGCGGACCAGATCTAAGGTGGACCAGATCTACAGTGGACCAGATCTAAGGTGGACCAGAGCTAAGCTGGACCAGATCTACGGTGAACCAGATGTAAGCTGGACCAGATCTAGGCTGGACCAGATCTATGGTGGAGCAGATCTAAGCTGGACCAGATCTAAGGTGGACCAGATCTACGGTGGGCCAGATCTACGGTGAACCAGATCTAGGCTTGACCAGATCTACGGTGGACCAGATCTACGGTGGGCCAGATCTACGGTGAACCAGATCTAAGGTGAACCAGATCTAGGCTTGACCAGATCTAAGGTGGACCAGATGTAAGGTGAACCAGATCTACGGTGGGCCAGATCTAGGCTTGACCAGATCTAAGGTGGACCAGATCTAGGCTTGACCAGATCTAAGGTGGACCTGATCTAGGCTTGACCAGATCTAAGGTGGACCTGATCTACGGTGGGCCAGATGTAATGTGGACCAGATGAAACTTGTTTTTTTCCAACTGTAACAAATCAAATGAAGGTTTCATAAACTGTCTTAAGGATTCTGTTATTAGTTTTAAATAATCTAGTTAAGGTCTGAAGAGTCTAGGTGTTGTAGAGTTTTAGCTCAACCAGTTCCAATTGTTCTCTTTTGCTTTTTGTAATAATTTAATCTCTTGTTCTCATTTAAAAACAAACAAATAAACACTGACATGGATAATCCATCTCTGAGGTGATCATAAGCAAGGCTGGTACACATAACTTCCACAACTGAATCAGCTCCAGTATCAGGAGCTGATTTGCACAAACAAGTTGTTTCCTCACCAGAAGAGTTTTCATTTACTTTAAACAAACGTTTAGACTTAGAGAAACCTGTTTCAGCAGGATTGTTTCTACCTTCTTCATGAACGTTATGTCTTGTTTAGAAATCTTCTCCCTCTTAAACTTTAGAGCTGAGACGTTGGGAATGATCCTGAAACAGAGGCACAGAATCAGAACCAGAACCTTTGGTACGGACATGAATCATGCTCTCGTGCCATACCTGATGCCGCGTAGCTTGGCCCGGTTGTCATGGCGATCAATGATGTTATGGAGGATCTCGAGGACCAGCTGCCTCAGCTCGCTGTCCTCCATCAGAGAGATGGAGAAGAGCGGGTCCAGGAAGGACGGCGGCAGCGCAGCGGCCATGGACTTGGACTTAAAGCCGGATGTCACCTGAGGACAAAGAGCCGAGTCAGAAAAAAAAGCTGAAGTGGTCCAGATGCTCTCCTGATATTTCAGATTGGAGAAACAAGATAAAACCAGATTAAAACTGAAGAGCAGAACTGCTCCATCTGGGTATGATCACATTCACACCTCCACAAGGTGCAGATCAACGTTGGCCTTCAACCTGATCAACAATCCTCCTGTGATTCCTCCTGTTTTCACTTGAATGGGTTTTTATTGCTTTTGTTTTTTTTTATTTGGTTGCTTTAAATGAGCTTTATGAATAAATCTGGTGGCGCAGTTGTTAGCACTGTTGCCTCGCAGCTTTAAGGTTGCAGGTTCGAAATTCGGCTGCAGCCTTTCTGCGTGGAGTTGCGTGTTCTCCCCATGCATGCGTGGGTTTCCTCTGGGTACTCCGGTTTCTCCCAGAGATCACAACATGCCCTGTAGGTTAACAATTGTACGTCGCTTTGGATAAAAGTGTTGAGGGTCTGCCCTGATGAGAAATTACTGTGCAGTGATTTTCTCCAAAAGACTGTGTTAAATTGCTCTGAAAGAGCATATTCCAACATCAGTGCCAAGAGACACTTCATTTCCCATGATGCTTTGCACACGGAAGCAATGTGATGATGTCATCGCCAAGGCGGAGCACGGGTTCTGTACATGGACAGTTTCCCCGCCAGCTGGAGGTTATAAATTTCAGCGAGAAACGAAACTTATGATTCTTTTGCCCAGTTAACTGGCGGTGGAGGACACGCTCGCTGACTATGGCTCCAAATAAAGTGTGCACGAGGCCTGGAGGCTTAAGTGGATCGGACACAGAACCGCTGGAAAGCAACTCCAAGCCATCAAACCACACGGAGACGCTGTAAGTTATAAAACTCAGCACAAAGCGAAACTTCGCTCTCTTTGTGTCCAGCCCCAGTTGGAGAGACACTCGTGAGTGGACGACGCCAAACCATGAGAAAACAACGGAGGAATCATCTGACCTGCAACTCAGAGGAACAAAGGGATGCCTTTGGTTCGCTCACGCAAGAGTTTGATTTTATTTTATCTCCTCCCCTCCCCTCCTCTCTTCACCTTTTCCGTTTCTTCTAGATCAAAATAAGCGGTCGTAGCGCGAGACCGTTTCAAAATACCAACGGTTTTCTCTATACCGGATCAAAATGCCACCCGGATAACCGTGAAGTAAGGTCTGTTTGTTTATTATTTAAATATCTGGGTCATTGTCGGTCAGCTGTGGCCAAGCTGGTCGACTCTGTTTTAGATTAAATAATTTACGAGTGATCTTTGTTGTTTTGTTAACTTTTGAAGTGTTTAAGTTCAGTTTCACTGATTTTTAAGTCACTAAATGCAAGGTAATTCCTTTTTGTCTGCATCTGAGAGAGGAAAGTCACAGCTTACAGCTCACCCTCCTCCAGCTTTATCTCACACATGCACCCACTTCGCTGTGAGAACAAAGAACTCCATTCATACATCCTTCATTCACACACACACACACACACACACACACACACACACACACACACACACACACACACACACACACACACACACACACACACACACACACACACACACACACACACACACACACACACACACACACACACACACACACACACACACACACACACACACACGTGTTTTTAGTGTTTGGGGGGACTCACCACTGAAACAAATCCATCCATTGGGGACATCCTCCATTTTACACACACACACACACATCTCTAATTATATCAAATTGTTTTACATTATTATTCCATTGTTTAGTTAAATGTTATAAAATCCAGTTTTGCCTCAAGTGACTTTGTTTGTGTTGGTTGAAAATTTCTGCTCTTAACGATTCCACGAACTTTCAGACAGATTGATAAGATTTTGGATTTAATTAATTTTCCCTTTCTAATTAGAATGGGTGGTGCCCCGTAGATATCTAAGAATATCTTAATTAATTAATAAATCTGTAAATATTCCCATATTTACAGAATTTATTGAAGGATCCAAAAGTAAGTAAAGCTTAACAATTATTCGCTAACCTAATAACCCCAACAAAAGCGTCTGCCAAATAAATAAACATAAACATAAATCTGATTTGTTTCGATCAGAAATAAATGAGAAAATGTTTCTATCTTTAGAAAATTGAGCAGAAAAGTGTTGATGAACCACATCTAGATAAACGTTTATCACCAAACAAAATGTTTCAAACAAAAACAAAAGGGATGTACTGAACATTCAGCCACACAGCCGAAACGGACAACAGGTCAACCCTGTTTTTTTTTCATCTCGCTCCACCCTCATGTGGCAGCTTGCTCAATAAAAACGGCACGTTCTGATTTCCAAAGTAAAGTTTTGCCCTTTTAGTAATGCTGTTTTATTAATATTGCTGGAATGTTCACATCGATTATGTGACACTTTTTAGTTTCCGTTTCACATCTACGGCTTCTGCCTGGCTCTTTTCTTCTTCCTTTACATTCTCACTACGTCTGTGATGGTGTTTTTACCGTCCTTTACCCACCGTGTTCTGAACAAGGTGTGATCCACATGAAGCACACAGACTCTGATGCTGCACGCAGCAGAGGCGTCACTTTCTTTTTCACTGGACAAGTGGACCCAATGACGAACCAATATGTTCATGAGGGTGAATATTATATTTGTATAGAGCCTTCTTAGGGTTCTACAACCCCCCAAGGCACTTCACAACACAATCAGTCATTCACCCATTCACACGCTGGTAGGGATGTAGCCACAGCTGCTCTGGGACACACAGACAGAGGCGAGGCTGCCGAGCACTGGCGCCACAGGTCCCTCCGACCACCACCAGCAGGTAAGGCAGGTTAAGTGTCTTGCCCAAGGGCACACTAGCAGCATTCTCTAGTCGGAGCCGGGATCAAGCCTGCAACCTTCTGATTACTGGACAACCTGCTCCACCTCCTGAGTGAGTGAGACGTTTGACTCACCATGATGAGGGAGCTGAGCAGCATCGTCTGGATCCTCTTGGTTCCCTGATGTCTGACACAAAAATAAAACATTGATTCATTTATAATTGCTGATTTGCTTATTTTATTTAGAAGCAGGTCAGAAACACCAGATAAACACATAAAATAGTTAACATTTTAAATATTCAGGAGCCTTTAAAGTGGCTCCGCCTACTGCCTGAAGGAAGACGGGTGACGGGTGTGTGTGTGTGTTATATTCTTAAGGAAATTCTACTTTAGTTCATTATATTTGAGGAACTTTTCACTAAACTCTCTTCAGGGTTTTAAAACTGTTGATGTGATTTTTTATGTCTATAAAAGTTCCTGATTGAAGGACGAGTAAAAATCACCCGATGATAAAGATAAAATGTTTCATTTGAATTTTATTGTTGCTTCATTTAAACCAAAGTTTTAATTTTAAAGACTGGTTGTTTCATTACTACAGAAGTCCTAAAGGGCCAACCCCAACCAGGGTCACACAGGTCAGAGGTCATGTGAACGGGTCCACAAAGGCCATCAGACGAAACATTTGATCCCGGACGAGCCCCCAGGTGAACACATGACGCAATTAGTGTTGGTAGCAAAATTATGTTTTATTATAAAAGTAGCACCAGAGGAACGCTGCAGGGCTCAGGGTTCATTCCGCTTTCTAGTTATGGTTCTCCATGACTGTTCCAGGTTTTCCATGACTGTATGAATGCTGCAGGGCTGCTTCCGTCTGCCGAAACACAGAAATTATCTTTAAGATGAAGCAGAGAGCCGTGATCCTCCACTATCAGCTGAACCTCCACTTGATTCATCTCTAAGCTCAGGAGGAGAATGAAGCCTTTTTTACAGGACACATTGTGCCAGAGTAATATTACCCCAACAGTGTGCTATGCCGGCATGGCGATGCGCAAATTTTGTGGCATTCCTTCCACCTTGCTAGGCTGTAATATTGCAGTAATCGTCTGTCTGTAAACAGCGATTTCGCCTTGATGCAACAGAGGGAGGTGTCGTGATCACGTGGGGAGTTACTGCCAAGCGCCGGCTGGTAGTTATATTTAAAGTGAAAATAAACAAAAGTTTCACTTTTGTTAAGAGAAGCAACTGAAATGCTAAACTGGTGGCTGCAGTGCTCCTGCACAGGGACAGCGGAGGACAGACACATTCAGAAGCAGCTTGTTTAAAAAAAAGGTATGATCGCGACTTCAATTGCAATAAAAAGCACGTTACGTCCACGAACAGTTTCATGACGCCATTGTGTAGTCTTTTGTAAAAAAGACACGATTGCGCCACATTACCGCCACGGTCTGACCACTTTGATTGATTGACACCATTGTTTTGTAAAAATGGCTTTAGAGTCAAACCGATCAGACGAGAGCAGGTTAAGTGTCATAAACATCTGAGACTGAGGAAAATCACAGCAAATGGATATTTGGGCAGAACCGCCATCAGAGACAGGAAAAGTTGCATTCATCAGAATCGGGTTCTGATGGGAGCTGATCTGGATTCAGCTGGATTTTATTTTCTCATTTTTTATTTACCTGTTAGATGGGAAATAATACAGAAATTAAACTTTAGGCTAAATCTAATCCTAAGCAGACCCACATCAGGATGTTCTGGTTCTGGCTTCTTGAGACTCACCCAATCTTAACGGTGTCTAAAGTGTGACACGGTGTCCCGTACACGGGGACTTTACCCATGATGAACATCATCACTTCGGCTCGCTGGTAATCTGGCAGATTTCCTCCAAAAAACCCTGACAGGACAAGGAAAAACAAACCCATTAGAACCACTTCCGACCCGTATTAACCCCACCAGAACCTCTGCTTTAACAAACACACCAATGGTCTGGATGATGGCGTTCTGGACGATCCGCTCGTCGCTCTCCTTCCCTCGGACCGACGACACGCTGCTGCTGGAGTTCCTCCTGGAGCTCTCTCCCAGCTCCAGGTCCACGCTCATCCTCAGGTGTTTGAGGAGCGTGTTGAAGACCTCCAGAACCGTCGGACCTGAAGTCCCAAACACACAAAACAGGATCAGATGCAAAAAAAATGGCTTGTTTTTCGTTTAGCCCTTCTGTTGGGTTCAGTTTAACATGTAAAACATAAAAACATAAAAACTCTTTAAAAGGGAAGTTTCTGCATTTTTAATGCATTTTTATTGAATAATTATTATATTCATTATTTTCCACTCAGTTAAAAACCTTAACAGGAGAGGCATATGCTTTTACTGTGAAAGGGCTTAAATGGGAGTTTACATCCTGGTGGACGATGAATCCTAAAACCAGCTTATTTTTGTGTGATGTACTCATAGCCTCTGGGTAGAGCAGCAACAGGATTCTAACCAGCAACCCTGCAACAACAGCTGACGTAAAGAACCCATCAGGCTAGAAACAACATGGCCGACGTGGCGTGTGCTTTAACCTGCTTTAAACGTTTTAGATTCAGTAAATCCTGATCTGGGGTGTTTCTCAATGCCAAGGAACCTTGCCTTGATGTCTTGGCCCGGCACCGGTTGCCTAGGAGATAAGTCATCAGGAACCGCCAAGACGTGTTCCAATGTTCATGTTCTACCAAGGCGTCTGTTCTTCGTTTGTTAGCCATTTGGCTAGCTGGGCGAGGATACACGGGAGGTGTCTTGTAGCCTAGCCTCGGTCAAAAATTACCCAGTATACACCGCAGTATTTTCAAAAGGACGGCGGATAAGAAGCCGGCAGCTACTTCAAGGACAAATTTTCAAGTTTAAAAGTAAGTCAACTAATTAAAAAAAATTTTTTTTAGATCCAAAGAAGTTATCTATTGTTAGTTAGTTTTTTATAGCTGCAGCTTCAGTGGCTAGCGGGTAGTAACTCATTTATATATTTATATTGAAACTAACATGTATAAAATATAACGTTATCTCCCGTGTCACGTGACGTTACGTGACCACCGTGGAAGCCGTGGTCACGTGACGCAAGTCTGTTCCATTTAACAGTTTTCTTTGACCAAGGAAGGACAGTGTCCTCGTGAGCAAAGTACCTGGCCTCACAAGATATCGCCTCGCAAGGCCAGGCGCCTTGACATTGAGAAACACCCCTGGTCTCTGGAGGGTTAAAAATCTCCACGTCTGTCCGATATCAAAAACATTTTTATTCTATTAGCTCAGACAAAAACCAACATTAGATTAATGTTGCCATAGAAACCATTTAAACCACTAATTCATCCTTAATTTACCATATAATCGAACTAAAGTCAGTATCATGACAGGTTCGGAAACAGATTTGGTTTGTTCTCTCTTAAACGGTAGAGAAGTGCAGCTCGTTCTGCTTTTGTGTTCTAATTTAATCCATCACAGAAAGCAACACCTCAGATTATCTAATCTGTTCTTCATCACAACTGCCTGCAGCTCTGTGGAGTTCCAGCTCGGTCAGCGGGACGGAAACACATTAAGCAGAAATGAAACTCACTTTAAAACAAAGATAAACTATTTTTCACCAGTTTACTTCAGAATCGTAGATTATTATTTAGCAAAAGTAAATCTTTTAAACACACAAGCAGCTTATTTTTATATATGATTTGTTCCCTCCTGCTAACGGAGTTTCCATTCACTTACAGTCTTTATGCTAGGCTACGCTAACATCCTGGTACAAAGGTCAGAAGCTCTTGACTATTTAACGCGTTACCTGGCAGGTAAAACGCCGCTGGGCAGAATATTATTAAGTTCGCATATTTCAATCAACCCGACTGAGAATAAGTCTAAAAATATTTACTTATAAATATTTAACAGGATTAAATAATAGATTATAATCCCATAAAAACAAAAGGATGTTTTTAAACACATTTACTTCAGATAAACAGTAATTATATTATAATAACCCACAATAACCACGCCTTACCTTTGCACATATTATAACTCTGTCTTCAAGTAAAAATAAATATGAAATAAAAAAAAGGATGGTTTTCTAGCTGTGGAGGTTTGAAGGTTAAACTAAACTACTGAAGCAACACAAAACTCTGCTGTTCTACATAAACAAACAAACAAACAAACAAACAAACCCTACAAATGAAAACAACAGCGGCTCCTCTGAGTGATCAGAACATAAAGAACATGAATAAAAACAAAGGGAGCATAAACAAATCCTCTTAAAACCATAAATAATATTTTTTCTTTCTAAAATTTAGTCTGATGAAAAATAAACCAGTGATGATGTCATCAGATCAGCTGTGTCTGGTCACTCTGAGCTGGTCTAATCAACAAGCAGCTTTTCTGTCATTTATCTACACGTTAAATGTTGTTTCAGCTCTTCTATAAAACAATTATTGATTTTCTAGTGTTTAAAAAACTGAAGACATGAAAAGTTTAAAATTAAACCACAGATAAATAAATATCTACTCTGCGGTATGAAGTTGACCACCACCCCATAGATCATGTGGTTTAAACCATTTTACACTTCCATAAAGAAAGGAGGTTCAGTCCATCTATGCACATACACCGTTAGCTGCTAGTAGGTAATGGCTAGTGGGTAACTGCTAGTAACTAGCTGCTAGTAGGTAACTGCTAGTGGGTAACTGCTAGTAACTAGCTGCTAGTAGGTAACTGCTAGTGGCTAGCTGCTAGTAGGTAACTGCTAGTGGGTAACTGCTAGTAACTAGCTGCTAGTAGGTAACTGCTAGTGGCTAGCTGCTAGTAGGTAACTGCTAGTGGCTAGCTGCTAGTAGGTAACTACTAGTAGCTAACTGCTAGTAGCTAGCTGCTAACATTAGCTTTAAACAGAGCAGCATAAAACTAATGAATAGGTTTTATGACCTCTAACAGAGACTCGTGGGAAAATGTATATAACCTGAAACATGTCGTTTTAAAGTTCTGTACACTCGACAAGTCGAGTTCTGTTTAATTATTAATGTTCTGATGACAGACACCTTTAATGGTCGTGATGTCAGAGAACAAAATTATAACCTAAAGGTTTAAAGAAAGTTTGTCTTCAGTTTTGTTTCAAACACAGAAAACTACAAAGATGTATGTGTGAGTGTTTAATCTAGGCAGGTGTGTTTACTGTACCGAGCCACAGATTAGGCGGAGTTGTGTTTTCACTTTCAAACACGAACGTGTCGCTTGGTTTGGACTCTTGGATCATACCTGTTCAGGTGAAAAGTTGTTTGTTCTTCTCCAAGCAAAAACAACAAAACAAGTTGTTGGAAATAAGAGTTTTCTATAAACGATCAGCAATCAGAAAGGGTTTTCTCCTCACACTAAACTCTGAATAGTTTATGCTCCTCTGGAGGTCACGACCTTTCTAATTATGATAATGCATAAAAGCAGAGGAGGCTGAATCTGACTGGATCACATCAGAACCTCTGTGGGTTTACTTCATTATCACTAAAATAATAAAAGCTGATTTTTTTCTACTTTATTTTTATTTATTGACATTAAAATAAAAATACAAAACTAAATTGCTAAAAGCCTAAATGAAAAAGGGGACAGAAAGAAGAAAAACTTATGTTATCTGCCCTTTTTGACTAAAATAACATTAATTCAAATGAAACAATCATATGATTGTTAAAAAATGTGAACAATATAGTTTCTGGACTGGTTGGCCGACACAACCTCAACCCATGAATTGAAAAAAAGAGAGAAAACAAGTTACACAGAAATAAGCATAAAGTTATATACATATATACACATATGCATACATAGACTTGTTCCCTTTTCCCCTTATTTTTCTTTCACCCCCCAACCCCCCTCCCCTCACGCATTTATGTAACAGATCTATACAAGTTAATCATTAATTTTTTATCTCTTTTTTGAAAGTCAATATTGTTTTTGCATTCTTGATTTCAGTATTTAATTTATTCCACATTTTAACTCCATATATGGACACACAATGTTCCTTTTTGAGTATCCTATGTCTAGGTATATTAAATAATTAATGTCCTTTTAAATCATATTTGCTATGTCTTTTTGTAAATCTTTTGATTAAACCTGCAGGTGCGTACCCTTTGTTTGCAATATACATACATTTTAAAAAATTGTAGTCAACCAGATCATAGAATTTTAGCGTTTTTAATTTTATAAATAATGGATTGGACGGATCTCTGTAGTTGCTCCTTGTGATTATTCCTATTGCTTTTTTCTGTAAGATGTAAGTGGAATTTGTGTAAGTTTTATATCTTGTTCCCCAGATTTCAGTGCAGTAGTTCAGGTATGATATGATCAGTGAGTTATATAACAAATATAGGGAATTATTATCAAGTGACCATTTTGCTTTATGTAACAGTGCAATAGTTGTAGATATTTTAGTTTTGACACTGTTTATATGTAGTTTCCAAGACATTTTTTCATCAATGATGACTCCCAGATACTTGACTTGTTTAACTCTTAATATTAATCTCATCTATATTTAATAAAATTTCATCATTTGAATATGTATTACTAAATATCATGAAACATGATTTATCACTGTTTAATGATAGTTTGATGGGAACAAACTATCATGACCAGATGTAAGCTGGACCAGATGTAAGGAGGACCAGATCTAAGGCGGACCAGATCTACGGTGGACCAGACCTACAGTGGACCAGATCTAAGCTGGACCAAATCTACGATGGACCAGATCTAAGGTGGACCAGATCTAAGCTGGACCAGATCTACGGTGGACCAGATCTACGGTGGACCAGATCTAAGCTGGACCAGATCTAAGGTGAACCAGATCTAAGCTGGACCTGATCTACGGTGGACCTGATCTACGGTGGACCAGATCTACGATGGACCAGATCTACGGTGGACCAAATCTACGGTGGACACGATCTACGGTGGACCAGATCTAAGGTAGCCTAGATCTAGGCTGGACCAGATCTAAGGTGGACCAGGTCTAAGCTGGACCAGATCTAGGCTGGACCTAGTTTGTTCCCATCAAACCATAGTTACATTTTTTTTCATCTCTGTTTGTATCACTTCTATCATCTGCTCAACATTATCTCCTGAATAATAAAAAGTTGTATCATCTGCAAATAAGGTGCATTTTAATATATTGGATACCTCAACAATGTCATTTATATAAATGATAGTTTAGGGCCCAATTCTGGCCAGCAAAACATCTGATTAAATTTACATGAGAAGTGATTTTTATCTGATGGAATAAAGTACTTTAGTGTTTTTATCAGGTCTGTAATAAAACTAGAGCCATCATTAATTAAATGGAGACATTTTTGCTCTTTTCCAGTAACTGCAGTGGGAGGAGTTTCCATTAGTGCCTCTTCTGAACCGTGACATTTCATCTCTTCAAGCAGCTCCTCTAAAATAAAAGCCTCATTAATCATAAATGATTTTCTGAAAGTAGTCTTTGGCTTTTAAATGCCAGGATCCACTGGACTGGTTTAAATTTAAACATGGACTCTGACTGTGGATCAGAGGGGTTGGATCTATCTGACTCGGTTCTGGGACTCACCTACAGATCCTTTAGCAGCGATGGCCACCGTCTCCAGCAGAACCTGGACGATCCCGGCTCTGACCCGCGGCGTGGTCCTGTTGTTGGTGTCCAGGTGGTTCAGAACCTGCTGGATGACGTGGTGCGAGTGCTGGGCCTGAAGGAAGTTAAGGGTGCAGGAAGTATACAGACTAATGGCTGCAGCGGCGAAGCCAACTGCACATGGACCAATAAGGATCAATGACTCATAACAACAAATATTTAACAAATACTCAACAACAGCAACAAATTTTATAGAAACTTTAGGACCTCACTGTTTCTTAGAGTTCCCCGCCGTGAGTCAAGATGGGTGAGTCCATGAATGTTAGAGACAGTGTGACGTAGATCTGTCAGGCTTTTCTAATCCTAGAGTCTCACCGTCTATTTTCTATCAGAAGGTGATGCAGGACATAGGTGTAGGAGACTATTTTCATGTTCAGCCTGCACTAAAAACCTAGAGTGGCCCGTTAGCATCAGGAATAACCATTAAAAATGGTTTTCCAGTCAACCACACTTCTAAAAGTTCTTCTGTTGTTCTGCTTTTTCTTCTGTGATATTGTAATATCAGCTGAATCAAGACTTCCAGGCTGTGGTTTTTATTATGAACACATTTCATATTTTGTAGGACATTACGTTTAAAGGTCCATTAAAAACCTCCATGTTTTTTAACTCATTCACTGCCGGCCGTTTCCTGATCAGAAAAGCCTCTCACAGAACGTTGTGCTTTATGATGATGTCAACGCCAAAACTACCAAAACAACGAGCAGACTCACTTCTTACATCAGGAAGAATCCGCGTGTTTTTAGCATTATCCATTCCTTCATAATCTGTTGTCGAATTGTGAGCAGCAGAGGCTTTTCCTGTTCGCGCCTCATTTTTTTCACACCCAAACAGTAAAAAAAAAAAAATGCAGCTGACGGCTTCAGTCGTCAACGACAGTAAATGAGTTAAAGGCTAAAGCCAACAACTCTTTTTTTTGGTGTTATTTTTTTATTATTGTTGTTTGTCGGACAGTTTTAATTATTTTTGTCTTATTTACAGATGTTTGGCTGTTTGTGTTCAGACGGATAAACAGAGCAGTTTTCCGTACCTGGATGGAGTACATGATGATTCTGAAACAGGAAACAGCAAACTCGTTGGGATCCCACAGACCGTGGTTGTCCAGGTGTCTGCACAGAAAACATTTATTTATAAATTAGTATTTAAACAGAAACACAGCCTAATTAAGTCATACATTATAACCTAATTATAGAATTAATCATGTGACCAAATTAAAAGCCCAATAGGAACAACTCAGCCAGCTAAGATGAGATATTTTATAAACCTAATGATGCAGAACGAGCAGCCGTAATTAGATGAAGAGGAGGATGAAGCAGGCCCTCTGGAGAAACATCAGGAACTCAAACCTCAGAAGATGCAGGAGGTCAAAGGTTAAACTAAAGAAGACACCACGCGGGCATCAGCAACGACATGGACCCTCCTGAGGGATCCGTAACGGGGCTATTTCTGTCTGCAGACACGAACACGCAGACCTGATGGTGCTTTTACAACCACCCACTCACTTTACATCTTCTAAACCCAATGAGCACCTTTATAATTATAATTTAGATAAAACCAGTTAGTCTGATCTTTATCTGACGCTCATAAAAACAGAGCTGGATAAAAAAAAATCCTCCATGACTAAATAAATGAATATGGATGACACATTTATTAAACTGGGAGCAAAAGTTAGAGTTTACTCCTCAAAAAGATCCCCAGAACTGAGCTGAGCCCTGTGATTGGTGCTGCTGAAGGTTCTAGAAGGTCGATGAACTTCCTGTTGGGGACTGTTAGGGTTAGGGTTGATTGGACCAGAACTCCTCTGTTAGGAACCACCGAGGCTCGAGCCGATCTGGAGCTGTCCGTGGTGCTGACCACCAACAAGGCTTCCAGTAAATTATTAATCAACAGAAAATCTGGTAAAGATAAAACAGCATTCTCACTAATTCACTGTTATTTTATCCATTTTCCAAATCAGATTGTTCCTCAGTTAACTTTGTAACAGAATCACTGTTTCCTGTACTTTTTTAAATCCAGTGTTTTTTGTAAGGGTGTCATAAAAAGACTGATGTTGGTTCAAGCATCCCTTGTTGCTGTGGCGATGGAGCTATTGGATCCACCGTGAGTCTGGATCATGATCTACATCCTGCTGCAGGCAGACACGAGCTTCTGGTTTAAGTCATATCCGAGTTCAACTACATCAGCAGCCTGAGAACGCCGGGTCCTCAGTAATCCTGTAACCCTCCCCCAGCTACTTTCAGGCATTCTGATGGAAATGTGAAGAAAACAACTGAATGAAACCGTTTTTAGATCCGAGCCTGAAAGAAGGAAACAAATTATCCGAAGCTTAGAAAACAATCTGGGATTACTGTTTAAATGGAGCCGGAGCAGAAATTTAGAACCAAAACCACAGAAATTTGGATTTAGAGAGATTAAAAAACAGGAGATGAAGACAACGCAGAAAGCATCAGGAACAAAAGGAGGGGAGGAGGATGATGGAAGCAGCTCATAGGAGAACAGTTCACAAAAATGACGTCAATCCAAACCCCCAACCCCCCCCGTTAACCCCAATCCTGGCTATTTATAGTCTGGAGACGCTCCCCGTCCTCCTGCTGCTGCAGCCTGGAGGAGGACGAACACCAACTTCAGCTGTTTTATTTACCGTCTAAGTGTCGCTGGGCTTAGAGAAAACGTCTCACCACAGAAAAGCGGATTAAACTTGTGATGCACCTGTCACAAAAAAATTAAGTATCCATACATCCATTTTCTTCTGCTGAGAGGCCCAGTCTTCCCTCTCCCCAGCCACTTGGACCAGCTCTTCCAGGAAAATCCCAAGGCGTTCCCTAACCAGGTGAGAGGCATGGTCCCTCCAACGTGTCCTGGGTCTTCCTTTAGGTCTCCTCCTGGTTGGACGTGCCCGGAAAACCTCACCAGGGAGGCGTCCAGGAGGCATCCTGTCCAGATGCCCGAGTCACCTCAACTGGCTCCTCTCGATGTGGAGAAGCAGAGGGTCTACTCCGAGCCCCTCCCGGATGACCGAGCTTCTCACCCTGTCTCTAAGGGAGAGCCCAGACACCCTGCGGAGAAAACTCATTTTTTGCTAATTAAAACTAAATAGTTCACAATTAAACAAAATGAAGAATAAACTACCTGAAAGCAGCTGAAGACTCAGAGAAAACCAGAAGCTGTTTTTCTGCGTCTCAGGTCTCTGAACGCACCATTTCTGTGCAGCTATAAAATATCAGACTTTTTCTAGTCCATGAACACACCAACACTTTCATCATTTTCACTTTAATATATTCATAACAATTGTACTACCTGACCTGACGGCTGACGCACAAAATCACTCAGAGGGCCACAAAAGGCCCACGAGCCACATATTTAAGACCATGCACGAACAGATTTTCTACATTAACATTTTTACTTCGAATTTAAAACTGTTCTGTGTAATTTATGGACCTCTGAGACAAACCCGAGCCAGGATTACTTCTTCACCAGCAGGATATGAAGGCTTCAGGTGAACTGGGTCTGAGCCGTAAGTCTCCAGATTGAATCACTAAAGCAGAAAATGCTGCATCTAAGACACAACAGTCAAATATTATGTTTAGAAAAGCCTAAATTGCACATTTTAAATGTGAGATAAGCCAGATTACTCAGGTCATAAAGGACCTGCATCATCCTGCAGCTGCAATAAAACGTTCATCAGGAAAAGCAGCAAAAGCGGATCGGATCAGGAACTGTTGGGTCTGAGAAGGAGGGCTCTTCCTGACCAGCAGGGAGCGCAGGACACCAATGAGTCTAACCGAGCTGCAGACTAACACCCTGCTGCAGAGGCTGTGTGTGTGTGTGTGTGTGTGTGTGTGTGTGTGTGTGTGTGTGTGTGTGTGTGTGTGTGTGTGTGTGTGTGTGTGTGTGTGTGTGTGTGTGTGTGTGTGTGTGTGTGTGTGTGTGTGTGTGTGTGAGTGACACCTCAGATAACAGCTGAAATAAAGAATACGGAGCAGAACAAACCAAATTAATTTAATTTTATCTAAAATAATCCAAAGTTTCCATCCGTTCCTACAGAAACAGGAACGGGTCTAGATTCTTAGCTCTACGCCTGAAACAACTGAAGTTTAAAAAAAAAAGAAAAGCAAAAGTTGTTTTTAAAAAAACACAAAGCAAATATAAACTCAAAGAAAACAGAAAATAAAAGTTCCAGGTGTCATTTTGGTTCAACGAGTTTCTGCAGAAGGAATAAATCCTTCCTCCACAGGTGTGTGTGTGTGTGTGTGTGTGTGTGTGTGTGTGTGTGTGTGTGTGTGTGTGTGTGTGTGTGTGTGTGTGTGTGTGTGTGTGTAACTGTTCTTTAGATGCACCTTTAGAAGTATTTTTTCTTTATTTTTGTCCTGCTCAGCATGAATCAACTTATCTGACTTTTACAGCGGAATCAGACTGGATCTTCCATAAGTTGAAACCAGCAAACAGAAACACGCTGGCTCGGGTTGCTGTGGAAACGTAGCACCATGTTCTATGTTAAGCCCAGCAGCTTGAACTATTTCAACTTGTGAGAAATCACCTGGTGTGAATGATTTATGTAGGGCAGATGGGTCTAAATAATACAAAAACCGGAAGGGTCGACCATGGTTGCCATGGGGACGAGACCTGAGGACCACATCGAGCCCCTCCAGGACGACAATGCTTCACTAACGGGTCAGACACTGAAGTCCAGATGCAGCAGAAATCCATGTGATGGTTACAGGTTATAAGATGTTCATGTCAACTCAAACCAGAGTCTACGCTCCAGCAGTGAGAAACTATTATTAGTCAGTGAGGTCTCCCTCCATCCTCCTAACCGGCACTAATCCAGAAGCGAGGCAGAGCGCTCCAGTGTGGCTCATGAGTGTTAATGAGAGCCAAGCTCCTCGTCTCTACAGGAGAAACAAAACTTCAGACTTACTGGAAAAAGCTGAGAAGCGAAAAGGAAACGGACTCTGGAAGAGAAAAACGATTCTGAAGAGAGCGTTCTGATGTCACATCGGAACATTAATGGCATCAAGAGGCTCACTCCACTCAAACGACGAAGAAAACATCTTTCAGTTGTTTATTATAAAGTTTATTCTTCAACATTATGATCCTGACCCATGAACTTAAGCAGTTAAGATGCAACACTCTGGCCTCCAGCCCTGGACCCTGAAGGGCTCCTATCCAGCATGTTTTTGTTGTTTTCCTGCTCTAACACACCTGTTCAGTCAGTTGATCACCTGCTGCTTACAGTCAGGTGTCTAGGACAGGGTGTGACACAACAGATCCACCTCTGCTCAGGAAGTTTCCTGGTAAAACGTTCATGTGAGCAGTGGAGCCGAAATGGTCACTGGTGTGATGACAGAGCTGACTTACCTTCCCAGGTATGCACGATGTGTGTGTGTGTGTGAGTGTGTGTGTCCTGTACGTGTTGTAACCTCAGCGTTTAATAAAGACGGTATGCATCTGCAGTGATGTGACGGCTGCTGCGGGGGTGGTGTGTGTGTTTGTGTGTCAGAGACTGAAGCACCAGTGCCATCCTAACCTTGTTTTGGGTAAACCGGTGAATCCAGAGTCTAACTGGGCCGTGACACAAACACGCATCCATTCTGGTTTTTCAATATGACTCATAGAAACGGAGGCCCCGCCCACACCAGTGGGGATGAAATGTAACTTTTGATGCCTCCACTGAGAAACCAGAGACCAATTCTGCACACATCCTCTGTGTTTTTGTCATCCTATCCAAACCTCGTAGTCATGATGATGATGTCATGATGACGATGTCATGATGATGATGTCAGCATGAAACTTGTGTAACAACAAATCTGGTGAATCTTTAGCCAGATTAACATTTATGTCTCTGCAGCCACTGGATAGTTTTACAGAACCGACGTCAGCGGGAGGCTCTGAGACAAGTCTCAACTCTGTGGTTCTGGTACTCACACCAGCACGGGTCGGACAGCGTTGTTCATGTTGCCGTAAGCTGCTCGGCCCAACAGCTCCCTGAAGCAGTTCTCAGCTAGCGCCGCCGGGTTCTCCTCACCGTCCTGACCCACCACAGATGGGGTGCTGGGATGCCCCGCCCTGCCAGAGCACAAACAAAATAAAGGAACAAACACAAAGAAAGCGGATCAGAGCCTTTTAAATAGCTACAGGAGGGGATGAGAAGCTGTTCCTGGTTCCGTTCACTCAACCGTTTCCTGAAATAACGTAAACGTGACGAGAAACAGCGGAGTCATGTTACAACAACCTGCAGCGGGTAGGAATCAATATTTCATATCACACACACAAAGAATCTGTAAGAGACGGGAGAGTGCAGAGGAGAGGAGCAGGAATACCAAACAACGGAAAAGAGAAAGATCAGGATCAAAGATGGAGAGGGATGGATGGGTGGGAATCAGAGCAGCAGATGAATGTCAGAAATGAATGGACCAGCTTGTGTGTGTGTGTGCGCGTGTGCGTGCGTGCGCGTGTGTGCGTGTGTGTGTGTGTGTGTGTTTGTGTATGTGTGTGTTTGTGTATGTGTGTGTGCATGCGTGATGATTTAAAATAAAAAAGGAGGCCATTCGTGGCCTCTGAACACAACTTCCAGATCAAACTGTGCTCGGGGGAATTTTACAGGAACATTAAAAGGTCAACTTGGAGAGCTGAGGTGTGAAATCTGAGGTGAGATCTTCACTGGTCTGCTCCAGGAGGTCACGGATGTTCTGGTAGTCACCAATCAGGTGTTTTTATTCCCTAAAGGAGGTCAAGGTTTGGAATAATGATGCAGATTTTTTATGCTAGCATCTAACTGGATCTGTGATTCCTGAACACCAGATTCTGGGATGTGGTTCTGGTCTAGTGGACCCGAAACAAACCCTTAAGATGCTCCCCTCCTGCATTCTCCATCCAGCAGGAGTAGCTCCTCCATGTCTGGGACTAAAGGACTCAGCTGGGAAACAGAAGAATGTGGAGGAATTTTACCTTCATATCCCAAATTTTGTTTAAGATGCTAAATCCTGCGTTTTACCTCGAGACAGTTTTTAGAGCCAGCAGGACTCCTCCGGCCGACCCGACAGGATCGAGTTTTGCTTCCGTCTTTATTCTGATAAAACTCCGTAACAGTAAACGAGTTCCCAACAACAAACCCGGTCACAGATGGAGCGCAGGCAGCCGCGTCTCGGGACCGGAACAATGCAATTACTGTCAGCCCACACAGGCGCTGCAGGGAAATTAAATGCTTATTACTGGTTAGAGGTGTGGAGATGATGGACAAAAACAAAACTGCTGCTGGAACTGAGGGCTCCTGTTTAAGGAAGTGGGCGAAGATAGAACAATATTTTCACCTGCTATAAAAAAGTTAGTAAAGTTACTGTAGACATTAAGGTGTGAAAGGGTTCACGTGTGAATTATGATCTGACGTCTTAAATCAAATTTAGGCTTTTATTAAATCAGAAAATTGAAACTTTTGACCATTCAATCCAAAGAAACACGTCTAAACCATCTCTTAGAATATTTTTAAAACCTAGAAAAGTTTTCTAAAATTAGAAAGAATTAAATATAAATAAGTTACAAATGAGAAGTTAACATAATTCTTTAAAGGAATTAATTTAATTAAATTGTGTTCACGACCCATCGCCACTGTAGAGTAACTGTGGCAACCATCTGAAACTCACTCCTGAAGTTAATTTGTTGTAGACGTTCCTCCGATCATCACTTTCGCTTTGCCTCCCGAGGTTCATCGGGTATTTTAATAATTAAAAAGCATCCCAGGATATTTACCCACATCCAGAGGCACCGAGACACCATCCCTGAGGAATCCCTGACAGGATCGGATTATAAACGAAAACTATAAAAACATTTTAAATCACAAAAGGAAAATGAAGTCGTTATTTGACAGTCACCGGTGCACATTTCATATTTTCTCCTCTGTTTCCTCCTAAAACAAAGTTTCTCCACCTGTCGTTTTTTTTTTTTTGAGAAGTCTAAGCAGACACTCACAACAGGATCCAGAAATAGCTTTTAGTTCACATGGAAACCAAGGCGATGTGATGAGGAGCAAAGGAAAGGTGACGAGAGATGAAGGGTGAGGCATCTAAATGAGAGTGGTAAAGAGATGAAGAGGAGGAGGAGGAGAGGGTGTTCAGGTGGAGACAATTAAAAAAGATGAAGAGGTGAAGAACAATGTTTGTGTTTTCTGATTTTTTTTATTTGGATAAAAGAAGAGAATATGTTTGGTTTATTCTGTCGCCACCGTCAAAAACCCCAAAACAAACAGAAACAATAACAGTAGAACCAGATCAGACCAGCTCAGAGATTCCTACAGGGTCAGATTATTCCAGAAGCAGGATTTACTTCCGAGAGAAAAAGTCCCATCAGCTAAAACATTAACTAGAAATTTATGTTTTCAGATGAAATGTTCAGATTAGTCAAACTTTTATCAAACTGAACCTGTTTTTATGGATTTGATGTCAGACAGGAATAAACTCACTTCTCCATAGAGAAACCAACAATATTTACAAAATGATTAAAACACATAAAATCAGGAGGAACCAGATGAGTGTAGGGGCTGCATGACTTACTTCTCTTTTCGACCGTCAGGTGATGAAAATCGAGTTAACTTCGACTAGTCCTTGATGACATCATACACCTGAAGCGGCTAAAACTGATGATGGGTGACCAAGCGGTTTTTTAGTCTCGACACACGGGGGGGGGGGGGGGGTGTTGGTTGGTTCGCTGGAGTTTTTGACAATTAAAATTGCGCCCAAATTTTCAAAGTTAAACACATCTCATAACAACGATGGTTTCTGAATCCTGCTTCAGCCCTCTCCCCCCTCCCCCTGCGAAGCGGCCGCAAACTCGCTGACGTGCCTGCAGCCTCTCAGTGTTCCTGCTGCTCTAAACATTAAAATAATTATTTCATTTTCTGTTCCTCACTTCTGATTACCTTCAATGGTGTCTGTTTGTTGCAACCACCAGGTACAAAAACTAACTTGTTTTTATTTGACTATTTTTCTGTCCTGCCTGTTTATTATCTTCCTGCATCTCCTCTCAATCCTAAAGAGAAACTGCTACCTGGGTTCATATATATTCACCTTATGAGTTACCTTTGAACTGCAGTTCTAAAAGATCTACCGACCACAGAAACAGCGGAGTGTGCGCTGGGCACCGGTGAGCTATGTCACCGGAGGACAAAACAGGTGATGCGCCCCGCTCCACAGCAACGAAAAGCATCAGACACAAATAAAAGAGAAAGAATAAAAGGAAATGAGTCGACATGAACGATCGCGTGTTACATTTGTTTTTGAGGTGGCGACACCTAATTGGATAATGTTACTGTGGCCGTGCTCAGGACGAAGATGTCTGGAGTGCGTCAAGCTGGTTAAGATTAGGATGGGGGTGAGGGGAAGGTTAAATTGCAAGAGGGTAAAGGTCACAATTTGGTTAAATGTCTGTTTCATGGCGGGTGTCAGTACCGACGCTCTGGCACAGCGCGTCGCCTCCCTACGCGCAGGAGCTCATCACCTGCTGTCTTTTCCGAGGACTGCATCTTGTCGGTCATTATCATGTGACAGCGACTAGTCAATGAAAGTCATAAAAAGTCACTACAGAGCAGTGAAGTCGACTAGTTGATACAACCCCTAGATGAGAGTCCAGGTGTCTTACCTGTCCAGGTCCTCGCTGTCCTGCATGTTGAACAGCATGGAGGGAATCAGCTTGTCCATGTGCTGAGGCTCCCAGATGATGGCCTGCAGCTCGTCATTCACCGTCTTCCTCACAACGCCCTGCAGGCCTTTAATACCAGCCACACGGATCCTAGAACACAGAACAAGTACAACATTCTCATCTTTTTGAATAAAGAAGGAACAGCGCACGGTTCACAAAGAAGTTTTAGTTGTAAGGTTGGTAGTTTGACTCCCAGGGTCTGACTCATCTTCATGATGAAAGAACCCGACTAGGAATCAGTTTTAAACTTGATGTTGGGGCAGAAATCTAAAGTGGCAGCATGCCGACAGGACCAGAACCTGAGTTGGCAGGTTCCAGAGAGCAGAACCGGTCTGGAAGGAGTCAGAATGAGTCTCTCCGTTTCAGACACAAAACCCTGAACAATAACTCAGAAAGCTGAGCAGGTGACCCCCAACTTGAGTCTGATCCAATCAGCGCCACAGAAATTCTATTCAGGAGATTTTCTCCAGCTACAGCGGGTCGGCGCTGAATGGAAAAATCTAATCCAGACGAGAAAACAGAGCGAGAAATCGTGCTGTTAACGGCGCCGTGGCTGTGAGGAGCAGAGAGATAACTCAAAATAATCCCACAGCTCACACACACACTCACACACATGCATGCACACACACACACACACAACTGCACAAACACACTCACACACACACACACACAACTGCACAAACACATGCACGCACGCACGCGCACACACACACACACACACACACACACACACACACACACACACACACACACACACACACACACACACACACACACACACACACACACACACACACACACACACACACACACACACACACACACACACACACACACACACACACACACACACACACACACACACACACACACACACACACACACACACACACACACACAAAACTGCACGTATGCACAATCCTGTGTTTTTGCACAAATATTGCCACACATTTCAGTTGTTGGGTAAATATCGTCAGTCTTTCTGAAGGATCTTTCCAGAAATAATTAAACAAAAGCACCTTAGAAGTTTCTTCTATGAAACATGAAATACTGTAACTGGTCCATTGTCCTCCACGTTTGGGAGGACAATAATTCTCTGCTCATAACACCAAAATCTGACGTGCTGATGAGGTAATCAAACACTGGTTCAGGCGTGCTGAAACAGAAAAACATCTAAAACTTGCAGGATGGAGGTTCTAGAAAACCAGGATTGGACCCGACTGTCAATATCTGTGACCATTTCTGAACCTAATGTGGTGGCCATTTTGAATTTGGATGACTCTTAAGACCAGCTGAAGAGGAACATCTAATTATTACTTTCTGAGAGCTTTGTTAAAGTCCATCTGGTGATTCATGAGCCATTTTAAATGTCCAGGAGTATTTTTACCAAACCAGAGACTGAATGGTCATCCCTGAGGAACTCCTCCCCAGATCTGATAACATTAATTAGTTCAATCTGACCCTGACACTGAACCATAAAGTGTGGTTCACTCATTTAATCAATACATCGGCAGTGTTTTCTAATAGCTCCTCTTTCAGGAACTAGAAGTGAGCCACATAGAGTTAAGCTTCTAGACAGCAGGATTTGGAGTCTTACTTCCCGATATGTAGACATTTCTCCTCTGACAGCAACAAGACTCTACCGCTGACTGTTAGCTCTTAGGTGGAGTTCTACTGTGTGGTGGAATTGCTAATGCTAACAGTTAACCAACAACTGCCTTCCCTGTCGTGAGTCAAGATGGGTGAGTCCATGAATGTTAAATGGCAGTGTGACGTAGATCTGTCAGGCTTTTCTATACTAGAGTCTCACTGTCTGTTTTCTATCAGAAGCTACTGCAGGAGATAGGTGTAGGAGTCTATTTTCATGTTCAGCCTGCATGAATGTGACCCATTATAATCAGACATCATCATTAAAGATGTTTTTTTCCAGTGTTCCACATCTTTAAATATAATTTGAACAATTTCTATTTTAACTAGAAGTGTTCTGGTGTGATGGTGCAGTCTGATTTTCTCCCTCCAGGAAAATCCTCCTCAGATTTATTCACACCAACAAAAGCAGAATGTAGGATGTTTTACATTGATGAAGAAATGACTCAGACAAGAAAAATGTGTAGATCCCGGTAAATCTGTGGAGGGAAGAAAAACAAAATCGCAGTAAATGAAGATAAAAGAGTTGTTTGTATGCGTACATGCAAACTCTGCTTCGCCTTTCATGGATTAGTGTTCCTCTAGAAGACGCGTGTAGTTTCTCTAAATGTTGTAAAACTTCTCCGGCTTTAATCCTCGGGGCTCGCAACTCTAAATATTCTTCCCTCGTCTCTGAACATTCTTGTGCATGACTAATTATTGTTGCCTGTTGGTTTCTCCCCTCTGCTCTCGGATTAGCCCCAGCTTCATTTATTTCTCCCAGAAACCATTTTCTCATATCAGAGTAATGTCGGCTCCTCGACAGCTAATAGATTTAAAATAAATCCTGTCGGTTATGATGGAAAAAAATTAATCAGGCGTCTGAAGCCTCAAAACATTGACGTAAACATTTCCTTCACTCAGTGATTTGTGTCTTTAGAACCTTTTAAAGAAATTTGCTGATAAATGATCATTTCTAAACATAGATTCTGAAATCTAGTTTACGTTTAACATCCAGTAAGTTCAACATTTCCTGTTATCGTCATCCCTGTTTCAGCAGCTCATGTTTCCCTTCAGGAAGAGCAGCAAAGAGCTGGTGGCCCACGTGGTCTCAGAGAGAAGGAGAGGCTATGAAAAATGGATCGCGGGGGGATTTATTTATATCTGTTTTTTTAATGGATGTGTGTGAGAGGAGAGCTCCTGTGGAGGAGATGAAGTTACTTTATTTATTCCAGGATGCTGCTGCTGAGCAACAAAAGAAACAGATAAAATTACTACAAACAGACACCTTGGAGCTCAGAACATAGAGGTTGGATGTCGTCTTCTTTTAATCCAAGGACACAGCAGCTGATTTCTCAAGCTCAAGTCCAATTTTGCCACATAAAGAGAAATAATCAGTGTATGTCTACACATAAATGAGAACTGCATAAACAGCTGCTCCAGGGAGTCTCCAAGTAAAATTAAACTATTCATCATGTTGTTGAGAACCACCTTGATTCTGAAGTTGTTTAATAATTAGTTTAGCTTTTGCATTTAGAATAATCAACAGGAAAGGAAAAGGTTTTATCTCCACATTGTGTTCAGTTTCAGACGAAATCATTTGATAACATGACGAAAAGATTTAAAGGGCCATATCATGGAAAATTCACTTTTGGGAGCTTTTTAGCAAGTAGTGTTGTTTCCTAAAGAAAAACACTCTCAACCCCGTTTTGGGCTGCAATCTTGCATTTCCCCGTTCCAGCTGCAAGTTTAGATGGTTTTAAATTTGATGATCAAATGTTTTCTGTAATATCTAATCTAAAATTAGAATTTTGTGCAAGTAAAATAAAAATTGGATTATTGCACAGATCCTTCGGCAAACGTGTTCTACTGGAAATACGCAGGTTAATTGGTTGCATCACGGATCCCTGTTTCTGATCTCAGAGGCTGCAGCTGCAGGTGGATACAAAAAATATGTATAAAACTACAGCCTAGAGGGGAGTACAGGAGGTATGTCCCTCCTGTACTCCCCAAAAACTCCCTCCATGGATGTCGGTCATACGGACCTGGTTTCAGAAAAACATTCTCAGTAAAATATTGTCAACATATCTGCGGTAGCAGTTCGTAAACGCAAATCCAATGCTGTTCGTTTCTTAACACATGCTTCCCAACTCTGGACATCTCCTGTGATTAAGGTTCAACTAATTTACCTCAACAGTGTCAGCTGATTGTCCCAGTTAGTAATAAAACACAAATGTTATCTCTCTCTCTCTGTAGCCCTTTTACAAGACACACCATGCAAATTGGTGTAATATTACTGCAATGGTGTGTCTTATAAACGCGCCATGTCAGCATGGCGTTGCACAAATTTTGCGGCATTCATTCGGCTTTGTCTTATAAGTGGCGATGGCGCCTTGGCACAACAGAGAGGTGTCATGACGACTTGTGGCATTACTGCCGAGCTCCAACAACTATATTGAAAATGAAAGTAAACACGGGCCATAGGTTTTGCTTTTTGAACAAAATCAGCTGAGATGGCAATGGAGTGCTGCAGCCATCCAACAGCCTCTCTCCGCTGGGGTTCAGATCACCAGAGACTGCACGGGGACTATTGACGACAAACACCTTTAGGAGCGGCTTGTTTAAAAAACGTAACGAGTGCAACTTTGATCGCAATGAAACACAAGTTATGTCCAGGATAAACGAAAGTCTGCAGTTGTGCAGGGACCGCCCCCCATACTCCCTTTATGCCACCCAATCTTTTATAAAAAGGACATGATCGCACCAATAAACGACCTAAGGGTCCCTGATGCCGCCACGGCATTGCAGCTAATTGACGGCATTGTTTTGTAAAAACAGCTTCTCTCTCTCCCGTTCTGTGTTACGCAACTGTCAACTCGCAGATCAGCTGATCCAGAGGCATATAAAAAGGATAAACCTCCAATCTTATCTTAATATTGTCAAATTAAAAACGCTGCAAAGCATCATTTTACCTGCAGTTATTGAAGCAAAAGTTAAATTTCATGAGTAAAAAAGCCCATAAAAACGAATCAATAAACCAGGAAAGCAGGAAGAAACGTCTATTTTTTTAACTTGAGTTCAGACTATTTAGAATTTTGTGTTTTCATCATATTTAGCTTGTATTTCATTTAAAATATCTTCATCTTTTTCATTTTGTGAGAATTTTAGTGTTGCATGTTTGGAAAAATAATCATAACACAACATAATTACTTGAAAGGTTGTGTATTCAATTCCATTTTCAAAGGCATTCTATAGTTTTGGGAGTTTTTTTTTTGTTTATTTATGACAAAATAGCTGAACACTGAAAAACTGACTTTGTTGCTGAGGCTCTGGGCAGGGCAAAGGGTCTGGGACTGAACAGGATCATGTTAGCTGCTCCTATGTGCTCAAAAAGTTATTTTACTGAACCATCCTTTAAAAAAATGGTCTAATCATTCACAGAAAGTAGATATACAGGGAGTGCAGAATTATTAGGCAAGTTGTATTTTTGAGGAATAATTTTATTATTGAACAACAACCATGTTCTCAGTGAACCCAAACAACTCATTAACATCAAAGCTGAATGTTTTTGGAAGTAGTTTTTAGTTTGTTTGTAGTTTTAGCTATTTTAGGGGTGATATCTGTGTGTGCAGGTGATTATTACTGTGCATAATTATTAGGCAACTTAACAAAAACAAATATATACCCATGTCAATTATTTATTTTTACCAGTGAAACCAATATAACATCTCCACATTCCCAAATATACATTTCTGACATTCAAAAACAATACAAAAACAAATCAGCGACCAATATAGCCACCTTTCTTTGCAAGGACACTCAAAAGCCTGCCATCCATGGATTCTGTCAGTGTTTTGATCTGTTCACCATCAACATTGCGTGCAGCAGCAACCACAGCCTCCCAGACACTGTTCAGAGAGGTGTACTGTTTTCCCTCCTTGTAAATCTCACATTTGATGATGGACCACAGGTTCTCAATGGGGTTCAGATCAGGTGAACAAGGAGGCCATGTCATTAGTTTTTCTTCTTTTATACCCTTTCTTGCCAGCCACGCTGTGGAGTACTTGGACGCGTGTGATGGAGCATTGTCCTGCATGAAAATCATGTTTTTCTCGAAGGATGCAGACTTCTTCCTGTACCACTGCTTGAAGGTGGTGTCTTCCAGAAACTGGCAGTAGGACTGGGAGTTGAGCTTGACTCCATCCTCAACCCAAAAAGGCCCCACAAGCTCATCTTTGATGATAACAGCCCAAACCACTACTCCACCTCCACCTTGCTGGCGTCTGAGTCGGACTGGAGCTCTCTGCCCTTTACCAATCCAGCCACGGGCCCATCTATCTGGCCCATCAAGACTCACTCTCATTTCATCAGTCCATAAAACCTTAGAAACATCAGTCTTGAGATATTTCTTGGCCCAGTCTTGACGTTTCAGCTTGTGTGTCTTGTTCAGTGGTGGTCGTCTTTCAGCCTTTCTTACCTTGGCCATGTCTCGGAGTATTGCACACCTTGTGCTTTTGGGCACTCCAGTGATGTTGCAGCTCTGAAATATGGCCAAACTGGTGGCAAGTGGCATCTTGGCAGCTGCACGCTTGACTTTTCTCAGTTCATGGGCAGTTATTTTGCGCCTTGGTTTGTCCACACGCTTCTTGCAACACTGTTGACTATTTTGAATGAAACACTTGATTGTTCGATGATCACGCTTCAGAAGCTTTGCAATTTTAAGACTGCTGCATCCCTCTGCAAGATATCTCACTATTTTTGACTTTTCTGAGCCTGTCAAGTCCTTCTTTTGACCCATTTTGCCAAAGGAATGGAAGTTACCTAATAATTATACACACCTGATATAGGGTGTTGTTGTCATTAGACCACACCCCTTCCCATTACAGAGATGCACATCACCTAATATGCTTAATTGGTAGTAGGCTTTCAAGCCTATACATCTTGGAGTAAGACAACATGCATGAAGAGGATGATGTGGACAAAATACTCATTTGCCTAATAATTCTGCACTCCCTGTATTTTTCTTTATCTGACAGCATCTGATTAGTTACAAAACTAATGTTCGTTTGGTTTGATTTTCAAGATGCAATTTTACTTGTCCTTTTTTATAATACTGATGCATTGAAACACAGAGAAATCAACTAGTGAATACAATATATTGTTGATATCGTAAGCATAGCATTTTTTTTACATAGAAAGCATGTTCACACATGGAAAGTATCAAGTGTGAATAAATCGTATGGCGGTAGCTCTTCTGTACTTTCAATATGTCAAAGTAGATCACGGGCCTAAAAGGTTGGAGACTCCTGGCCTGATGTATAAGTTGTATATCACTCCATCTTCCTGCTCCCAACATCAGGGCCTGCTCCTCCCCTGGAAGCTGGTCTGAAACCTGTCTCCCCTGCCCAGCTTAGGATATGTGGTATAGGCTATAAGTGCCATGTAACCGACTTGGTAGTCTAGTGGTAAGTGTGCTGGGCTGCCATTCAGTTTTGCGCAGGTTCACTTCTCGGTCTCAGCAGTAACATTTTTCTTCTTTTGCAGCTGCACTTGTCAGTATTATGATTTCAACCCTTTAGGACTAATCTAATCTTTGTTTATTTAGCCAGTGTGAGTCCATGTGAGGTGAGCAGAGTAAATCAACTGAAATAGTGCTTGGAAATGACCATATTCAAAGATGTTTACGGAAACAAAATATTTGCAGAAAATCAATCAAGCTTATATATATATATATATATATATATATATATATATATATATATATATATATATATATATATATAAAAGAAAGAAGGAAATCAGCTTCAGCTGGCTTAATAAATGACTACAGACACCACCGGGATTCGAACCCATGTCAGCACATGGCAAAGCTGAGACGAGCTTAAAGAGCGAGTTAACGCCTAAATTAACTTTTTTTTGCTGATAACCTGTATAGATGAGTGTCTAATGGTGCTGTACACATGTGTAATCATTAGAGTGGCAGTTTAGTGCAACTTACTCTAAATGTAATATTTCAACCCAAAACCATAATTATATCTCAATCTTCAGGTTAAAACTTTGCTCCACATTTATGTAGAACCAGCTGGTGGCTGATGGCTAAGCTGAAAAACGTGACGTCAACAAATTACTATGTGGCTGCACCGCACTTGTCTCCAGTTGAGGCAGCCGCACCCCCGCCTGGCTCAGCAACTCACCTGCCAGCCCAACACGCTGGCTCTCTGAGCCGCTTGCCTCCTTGAAAAAAATGCCCTCCTCCCCTTTTCATCTAATGATCGTGGTTAACAGGAAATCCTCCAGAGTGCTGCTGTGTCTGCTCTTCTCCTGAGCGGTAAGTCTTGTGTAAGTGCATGCTTGTGCGCACACGATCGTTAACACTACTTTTCGGCACACGCAGGGGGGTTGAGGGGGGTGCGGTCTACCACTGCCTCAGTGCCGCTCTCGGTCCGACAAGCAACGCGTTTTCCTAACAGGAAGTGTGGATGAAATACGTCTCCACCCATGCCTTGACCTTCACTTTAAGCACTGGTCTCCCATAGCCTCTATAGAATCCAGCTTGCCTAAAACGCTACTGTAGGCACATTTTGTCAAAGCGGGCGTGGGCGGAGCTTCACTGAAACAAAGCATTTAATTTCCAGGCATAAACTCAGGCTGACAAAAATAACTTCTATTTAAGATAAATGACATCTCATTAAGGAAGGAAATGTATCTGATAAAAAAACCAAACACCCACATACAGAAAATATGGTAAAACAGAATTATGTCATCAAAAGTGTGTGCATGTGCATGAGTGTGATAATTATAATGAAAATCATAAATTTTCAAGTTTTAAAACTTAAATACTTAAGAGATAAAACTCAAAAAAATTAATCAATGGATGAACATCTAAAATACTCACCTTTGGGGTCCTAATCAAGCTAGCCACTACAGCTGACAATGCAGACATAACTCAGTCAACATTTATGATTCTGAGATTAATTTAGATGTTTGAGTATCTGGGAGTCATTAAAACATACTAAGCAGAAATAGTGGGACTAAATTGTGCTAAATTATGATTGAAGATTTTACTAAAACAACTATAACTCCATCATTTCTCAACATTAAATGATTTTAGTATAAATCCCCGGAGTAAAGGTGGTGGGAAATTTGCCTCCATTCAAGAAATGACTAAATCCCTTTTAGAAAAACCTTCATCACTAAACCCTGCATGATAATTCCTCCTGATTACCAGTTTATAGCATCAAAGACCAGTTTATAAAGACTCTCAGGTGCTAAAGAAACCGTTGAGTTGTTGTGCTAGTGGATGTTACCAATTTGGTTACTGGAGTTGGCCTGATGCAACATTAGGACCGTACCTGGTTCTGGTCTCCGGATCTTCATGAGTGGAGTGGCACATGGCGCTGAACTGGGAGACGAAGAAGTCGTAGCGTCGGTGGTAGGAAGGTGTGTCCTCCTCAATGTTGGCAAACTTTACAAACTACAGGAACAAACAGGAAACACCAGATAACAGAGCATCTTATGTGTCTAAACCATAGGTCTAAACACTAAAAACATGTTCAGTTCTTGACAAAATCACAGGCACTTTCTTTCATTTATAAGTGAATCTAGGCTTTCCCCAAGAATAGTATTTCATATCATCCAGTTTAAAGTGACTGTGTGTATTTTTCCTGGCGATAGGGGGCAGTAGATACCTAAATCAATGCAAGCAAGTAGTATTTTTATGTTTGAGTAAGACCTTATCAACGGATGCCCATTAGGGTCGAAAAGCCCTGGGGAGTTCAAACTTCAGTAAAATGACAAGCAGATCAGACTCCCTTTCATCACATGCAGCAAGTGAAGAGGTAAAAGTGTAAAACAACAATGTTCATGAATGCTGAAAGCTTTGTAACCATTTTATACAAATCCGTAAATGCATGTTGTCCTCATAGGCTCCCGTAGAACAAAACATGGTGTCTAATATGGCGTCGCCCAGAGACTTAGGGTGTTTCTCAATGCCAAGGAACCTTGCCTTGATGTCTTGGTCCCGCCCCGGTTGCCTAGGAGATACGTCATCAGGAGCCGCCAAGACGTGTTCCAATGTTCATGTTCTACCGAGGCGTGTGATCTCCGTTTGTTAGCCGTTTAGCTAGCTGAGCAAGGATACACAGGAGGTGTCTTGTAGCCTAGGTCAAAAATTACCCACAATACACAGCAGTATTTTCAAAAGGACGGCGGATCAGAAGCCGGCAGCTGCTTCGGGGACAATTTTCGAGTTTAAAGGTAAGTCAACTAATTTTAAATGTTTTTTTAGATCCAAAGAAGTTATCTATTGTTGGTTAGTTGCGGCTTCGGTGGCTAGCGGGTAGTGACTCACTTATATTTTTAATTTAATAAACATATACACAATTTAAAAAGTAAAAGGCTTGTCATATATTTGTATGGAAACTAATACATATAAAATAACATTATCTCCCGTGTCACGTGACATTACGTGACTGCCGTGGAAGCCGCGGTCACGTGATGCAAGTTTGTTCCATTTAACCGTTTTCTTTGACCAAGGTTAGGACAGTGTCCTTGTAAGTAAGGTGCCTGGCCTCGCAAGGCATCGCCTCACAAGGCAAGGCACCTTGACATTGAAAAACACCCTTAGACCCACTCCCATGTATTTTAGGCTTGATTTTTTTGGTTATATGTTACAAAGCCACCAATATTTTTCAACAACTGGGCATCATTTCCTTCATTTTCAACAACGTTTCGATGGATATTTCCAGAGATTAGCGGTAAAAACTACACATTGTCTCTTTAAAACCAAAAGGACAAATGTGAACCGTGTTTTTGTCCTTAGTAACCTGGAATCAGCTCTTGAATCAGGACCGAAGCTTTTGAGGGATTTTGTAGAAAATGTTTTGACAGAAATAAACATGACCGTAAACGTCTGCAGTCACATTTCTATAAACACATGTAGAATATTTCTATAGAGCAGAAAGTACAGCTGTAATCCAGGCCTGCAGGGATAAAATGAAGGCAGCCTGTAATTTTATTGCTCACAATAAGCATCCATTCTCTGAACTATCAGCAGCTCTTAAGCAGCAGTATTTGCATTACCATCCCATTGTCCGCTGTCAGAAATGGTTCTGCATCACTGATAAAACCCAGCTGTTGTACCTGGTAATTTCCTCCCATTTTCTACCTAACCTCTGGTCGGGGTTACTGCAGCAGTTGTAACTCTGGAAAGCTGCTTCACCTTCATGGATTACAGTACCCGTAGAGACACAGGTAATCCAGGTGACAGCCAATTGAACGCCGGGTTTATTAGAAGGACAACAAAAGAAGAGTCTGGACCTCCGTCATGAATTATTTGGTCTTATTCTGTCATAATAAATAAATTTTCTCTACTTTAGTGTTTGTGGAGGGAGAAATGTGAAATAAAGTCAAACACACAGGAGTGGGATCCAGATTTGTCCTGCTGAGACATCCATTCCCTGAGAATTTCTGTCCAAGCGGTTTTCCTTTGTCCTGTTGTTGGATGTTACAGGTGTTTTCTAAAGGGAATCTCCTTAAATTGAACAGTAAACACGAATACTGTTAACCATATTAGTGGGATTTACAATTGTTTTTTTTTTAGTAAAAAAAATAGGACACCATTTCCTAAGTATGCATACAAAAGCAGTTCAGAGTCCAGAGTCACATCTTTGGTTTCTTGAGGTAAAGGCAGGCTGTGATCTTTACACCAGACTAATAATGTCTGCACCTCCTTCCAATCTTCGGCCTCATTAGTGGTCAGAAGCACAACACCTTTGTCAACTGAAAACTGTGTGGTCTGGTGTGAACTTCATGTAAAGCAGAGGGCCCAGCACACAGCCCTGTGGAACAATGGAGCTGATCATCTAGGACAAAGACCGATGCTTCTTGAGTTAAACAGTTTAAGAGAGGTTAGTTAGTGGGTCCTAACTGGGAGATAAGCTGTTGGTCCTTTTGTTTGGTGTTTGAAAAGGAAAGTTTTTGCACCAACAACATTGCAGGATCAGTTTTCATTTCTTAAAAGAGACGATTTTAAAACAAGATCTTTGGCATGAATGAAATTTGAACTCATTCTGTGGATTCTGCTCATTAGCTGATAGAGACAGGTGACTCTTTACATCTTTAAATGTTGAAGGCTTGGGATGACAGTGGCAGAACAGTTACATGCCAGTCTCATAACTGGAAAGTTGTGGGTTCAAATCCCACTAAGACTGTTGCAATTGCTGTGTCCTTGGGCAAGACAATTCACCTTGCCAGCTGATGGAGGGATCTGTGGCGCCTGTGTACAGCAGCTTTGATCCCATCAGTGCACCCCAGGGCAACTGTGCCTATGACTCTTCTCATACCCATCAGTGTATGAATGTGCCTGGCTGAATGACTGTGCTGTAAAGTGCCTTGGGGGGTTGTAGAACCCTAGAAGGTGCTATACAAGCAATTTACCATTTCATGAGAAGAGGAGCTCATTCTAGTGGAGGACTTATGTAAATAAAACTAATGACGGGACAAAAGAAATAAACTTTCGTGCGTCATAGGAACCTCGAGGCAAAGATGTTAGACGTCTAATAGAGAAGCAGTGAGATGGTGAAACAAACACCAACACAATTTGTTTTACTTCCCTCAGGCAAAGACATGGAGCACAATCTGAACAGAGGAGCCAGTGAACGACCTACTGAAATGAGCTGGTTTTACTTCACCATCCAAAATAAGCTGTAAAAGCAGCAACTTAAACCTATCTGCTCGGTAACCATGACTAACTAGTCTCGTCTCTTGAAGGGTTAAATGTTGTAACGGTTACTGAACAGTGAGGTTGGATTCAACAGCAACACCTGGACCAAGACAAATTGAAGGTGTACCTTAATGATTTTATGACTGAGGGATCATTTTCCTCAGACTGTCTTATTTCATCCAATGAGAAGTTTTCTCTGACAGAAAACCTGTTAATTAAACTAAAAATGCATCAAACATGCAAGTTATACAAATTTTTGCTGTGAAGCACTTTGTGTTTAATCAAGATGAATTAAACCTGCTTCATGAATTTAATTGATGTTTTATAATATATTAAATCTGAAGCAGTAAATCTTAGCATGAAATAAACGCCCTATACTCTGTTGTCTTCACAGTTATCAATGAAAGCGCTGTTGTTATAAAGAACATAATAATAATAATAATAATAATAATAATAATAATAATATAATAAATTTTATTTGTAAGCGCCTTTCATGACTCACAAGGTCGCTGAACAATAACACAATAAAACAGGGATAAAACAAGAGTGAGATAAAACGCTCTAGGTCGCTAACATGAAACAAATAAATACAATAAAATACAAAGTAACTATTGGTAAAATGAAATTCATGACAATGGCAGCGGAAAAAAAGTTAACAGTCAAGGTACTAAGTCAATTTATTAGTACACACCTTTCAGAGCTCTAACATTATTAAATAATCATTACTACATCATTATCTTTAAATTTTCATTCATTATTTATATTTTGGCCAAATTTAAGTTCATTTTTAGGAACGCTGCAGGTGTTATGTAATTAAATATGACCTATCTATTTAATTTTTACTGGATGAAATTGTCCAAAATGCATTTAAATTGTGAACTTTTATATTTAATTCTAACTATTGGTGTTTGATGCTTTAAAATGTTTTGTTTTAGAACTAAAGACAAACATTTTGGATTTAATCTGATGTTTTCTGACCTTTAAAACAACCAGCCAATGGGGTCAAAACCACAACTCCCAGAATGCACTTTGACAAATCTGCAGTAGCTCTCATTTTCACCTTGTGCTTTTCTAAATGTCATTTAGAGTTTTATGCTGAATGTTTGGATTTCTTGCCTGCTGATGGTGGTCGGAGGGACCGGTGGCACCAATGAGCCCCAGGACAGCTTACCACCAGTGTGTGAAAGTATGTGTGTGTGTGGGTGAATGACTGGATGTGTTGTAAAGTGCCTTGGGGAGTTGTAGAACCTTAAATGAAAATTTTTTATTTTTCTATTATTTTGAAGGTTTCAACTGTTTCATGATGAAATTGTTTCAATTTGTAAAAAATCCCAAAGCCATGAGAAATTATTATTACATAAAAGCTCCAATTTCAAATCCAGATGTTATTTTCTGACATTTTTGGTGATTAAAGTAAAGTCTGAAGTGTTTCAAATGTCTAAGAGGAAGAAAGAGAAGGACTGTGAACCAATAATACAGTAAGATGAGCTGTTGTAACGAGAGCTGACACATCTCTAACCATCTGTGAATGGAGTCAAACCTGTGAAATCACAAGAGGAGAAAACCAACAGCGGAGTCTTAAGAGAAACAGAATGCAGTCAGAAAGGGTAGAATAAAAGGGAATAAACTGATTTAATGGAGGTAAAACCTTCCCCATTTTCTGAAAACACTCCTCAAGAACTCCAGGTTTCCTCGGGAAGTCATCGGCAGCACGGGTGGCACATCAGGCTGCACCGGCTATAAATACCAAA